CCTAGTGTAACACTCTTTTTTTACCCCACAATTAAAAGACACATTTATTTGCATATATCAAAGTAAATTATTAAATTTAATAAAAGCCACCAAAAAGGGCGTACATTTCCCAAATCATCAAAATAGGTCCAGATTCCGTAAACAACGGGTTTTCCCAAAATACATCAAATTGCACAAAGCAGCGGAACTCAAAAGACATAAACCAAGGTTTTCTTCCTACAGGAAGATAATCAAAATAACTCAATAAAACATAGTTTAACTCAAAAGACCCCAACCCGATGTTACATATCAGAGCAAGACCCTCTAAGTTAACCAAAAAGGCTAACTACTCAAAACTTCAAAAAAAAATCCTCGACGGCGTCCACGGCTAAACCTGGTCATCTGCATGTTACCCATGTGGAGGCAACATTCAAACAGGCAGGGTGAGTAAAACGATTCATAATAATCAATGTATGAAAATCAACATATAAAAGGCGTCATTTTCATATTCAACACATTCATACTCATCAATATTCCTCAAAGGCCACAACATCACAATTTACTCACAATCATCTCATAAATGCAAATGCAACAAGACTCAATGCACGTGGTACCAATCATCACAGCTCGATGGACACTGGGCCATTAACCCTCCATAGATCCCCATTAATATGATTGATTCTACTTGAGAATCGGAGCACATCAAAATACTTCACATCCGCACAATGGGATTGAATCTAAAGTAATCGAGGTCCTGAACCGAAGTCTGGATGCACATGAATGCATGATGCACACGTCAATAACCATCCTCATAATAACATCATAGGTGCATCATCATTCATCATATTCATCATCGTCACAATCATCATCATATCTCATGTCATCATAGAATTCATCAAAATCATGGTAATATCATCATAGTTTTCCAATCATTACACCATCGGAATCATCATCTAATCATGTACACATCACATAAAACTCACTGTCATACTCATGTTAATTCGTCAAAGAAATCACAGTATCAAACATCAAGGCATCGCTGCATACGATCAACATTTGCGAAACTCTGCTACGTTCGCTGGCATGTTCGCAAGGCGAGTCTGGGGAGAGTTTCTTCGATGTGCGAAGGATTCTTCACTATGCGAGTCTGGGACTAAATCATTCGCTATGAGAACAACACGATGACAACAAACTCTGCTACGTACCAGAACCTAAAATCACTCGAAAAGCCCCACGATTCACTTCCTCAATGCCCCCCAAAACATCCCTAAATCATCCCTAAGGTCTTACGACAGTAAAGGCACAAAACCTACAGTTCATTAGGCCAATCCCGTAAGATATTCACGCCCTAAATCACAAATTTCCCTACAATTGCCCCAAAGGCATCAGAGTTACTCACTATCAAATATTCCTATTCCTTCAGGGTTAGACAAATAACAATTCATGGTTTTGGCCACGAAGGCCTACCTTTCCCTATCCCTATTCCCCAATGAATTCCACGGTTAGATTCACATTAACAGATTTAGGCCACGAAGGCCAAAGATCACTTTTTTCTCATATCCACCCTCAAAACCCTTAAACCTTAAATTGACCTAAAACACATTGAATTTACACATGGAATATCATGAAGGTAATACTCCTCATACCTTAATTGTCGATCAAAGCCTTCACAAATATTTTAGGGAATCTCTCGAAACTTCTGCCTCCAATCTTCTCCTCAGAGCTCTGGCCTTAATTCTTTTCATAGTCTAACAAGTGAATCTTAATCCCTTCACAATTTCCTTTTTGTTAAACCTAGTCTTGAGCCTCACAATTGGGCTTTTCCCATAATACCCTCACCTACTCCTCTTAATTGTCCAAATTGCCCTTATTTCACTTATATTTATTTTAACTAATAATAATACTATATTTTCATATTGTATACTATTAATTAGATAAATAACTAAAAAATGCATAATTCCCAATAATCCACAAAACCACCGAAAACCACCGAAAAATGAATATTCTTATTTAAACAATTAAATAAATATTCCAATTAAATTTGGGGTGTTACACCTCGCACGCACTTGTTGAACCCAAGATTCACGAACACGATTCACTTTTTCGCACTACTCCCTTTCTAGGTACATCCGACCTTATCACAAGGCCTCTTCACTTGATTGAATCCGTATTTGTGTGATCTTGTCCAAAACCTTCAAATCTCAATGATCTTGAAGGAAAAACTCAGCTTGGTTTTCTTATTTGAAACTCACAAAGAACTCAACCCAATTTTATCGGTTACACCAACCTAATTGGACATTATCAATCCTAATCTAAATGGTCACCCAATCAAAAAATGATTATGTGTAGTTTGATTATGTGTATGAATAGAAGAGAGGTTGAAGATGATGGGTTCGTTTTGTAGTTCTGGTTTCATTTAGATTTTACACTAGTAACTTGCTAGAATATGATGCATGAATGAGTATTTATATGTATGATAGATAATGAGCAAAAGGAATGCAAATGGATGGAGCAGAAATTAAATTTTCTTAGAAGGGGCATCATATGTGTCGACATATTAAAGCAATAGGTTGGCCTGTAAAACTATTCAGGTCAGCCTATGAAGGTCTCAAGTTGGCTTATGAAGGTCTTGTGTCGACTTAAGTGAGGCGACCTGAAGGCAGTGGCTACAAACTTTAATATTGATGTGTGAGAGCCGACCTAAGACAACTATGTGTCGACTTATATTGAAGTTCAAACTTCTATAAGTCGACTTGTCCACGTATGTGTCGACCTAAGATGTGTTGATCACCCTAAAATTGTTTTTCAATGCATTTTTCACAAAAACCTTATTTTCAATACATGTATGATGTAAACTCCTTTTCCAAACCATTTTAATGTTTCCTAATACTAAGATGCTCATCTAGAATGAGAGGATATCGTCCAATACACATTAGCGCCACATTATCCCAGTTTTGATATCATTCAAAATCTAAAAGTACACTCAAAATGATGTTCTCCTATGATCACATTAATGCCACAGACGATGTAGAGATGGAAAAGTCATTGGGATCCTAGAAAATGTTCCATTTTCTCATCACTTGCCTCATGAGGAGCGTCGTCTTGGGTCGCACTCTATTCGAAGATTCTGATCCTTCATCTAAAAAGGAGGGGGACTTTAAAGTTAAGTTAAAAAAGTGCATGAGGGTTATGATCTTAATCAGACCATGTTGTCTTATGCTAATGAAAGGATAACTGCTCTCGAGAAGGAAATAACTAGGGAAAACCCGTATTTGAAAAGGCCAGACGAGCGAAAAGCAAACTCTTGGAGGAAAGAAAACTAGCTAGGGACAAAGATCGCCTCTAAAAAGGCCGCTAAAAAAGGAGCATCCATTAAGGCACATCAGATAATGGATGACCAATCTCAAGTAAGCATCTCGCCCATACATGACTTATGCTTGAAGGTTGTGTACTTGTTTAGTTTTTTTGATATGCCTCAGAAAAACACTTTTCCGTTAAATGACTCATGCTTGAGAGATTGTGTATATGTTTGATTTTTGGGCAGAATTCTGAAACGGGAATGAGTCAACCTGAACCCATTGAAGTTCGTCTCAGTTGGTGAACCACTTAAAAGAATATGGTTGAGTTAAAATACCTAAAGAGGCAGATTGACTATGTTTATCAAAATCTAACACTTACCAATATTTGATTGAAAACACATTTTAGACTGATGGAAAAATATCATGATTCAAAATTTAAAAGAAAAGTCTGATTTTCGATCACCATCAACAATCACATCAATGGGAAAAAATAACATCAAATTATTTATAACAACAAGCTTTTGTTTTAATACATATCATGGAAAAAAATAAATATACACATCTGACAAAAAAAAACACCTATAACTTTAAATACATTGCGAATAAAAAAAAACAGGTCTCTATAAATTTAATAGAAAATACATTAATTTAATCATAAAAAATACGTTAATATTAACTTTTAATTTTTTTTACCGTTCATCATTATCCATATCTAAATTAAGATATTACCAACCTATACAGTTAATAGTTATTCAAAACAAACACAAAACAGTTATGAGTTGAATTGGTTGTACTGTCTGTCTTAAATTTGAGAGTTTAGTTTTAAAACATAATAATGGATGGTTTACATTAAAAAAAGAAACACATAAACAACATACGAGTGTCTGAGTGCAACCCGGACATATGGCCACGCAACGAAACACAGATTCGCCAACTGTAATCGAATAGATCACCGTCACAACATTTCCCTTTTAAATCAAGACACCGCATTTCATCGAAAGATTCACAAGGATCTTCCTTTGAATAAATCCTAACAGCATTGTTATTTCACTAACATTTTTTTTCTTCTATCTATAGCCCTTATCTCTCGCTTTCTGTATCTTCATAGGGTTCTTTGGGGTTCGTTCATCCCCTTTTCTCAATACAATAAGGTACTCTTTTTTATTATTGTTTTTGTTTTGGAATGAGTTCTATTAGTTTAAAAAAGTTTCCTTTTTTCGTTTTCATGGGTGCCCATTATCGTTTTATGGATTGACTTTAAGGATTTGAGGTTTTACTTTTTTGAATAATTTATTATTTTCTAGGGTTGAGTCTTCTCTTTGTTCCTTTCTTTATTTGGAAATTGGGGCTTTTGGGTAGCTTAAAGTTGTGACATTTCGTTTACTTCTGTATTCTGTTACCTACAGAGAAAATTATCATAAATTTGATATTTAGGTTTGTCTCTTTTTGTGATGCAGGTTTAGTCCTTTTTCTTTGTGAGTTGTTTTTGGAGGAGTAGTGGAGGTGGTAAAAGTTTAGGGAGGAACATAATAGTTACTTGTTTTTGTCTGAATCTGTCTGTCTGATGTATATGGTTTAAGATCAATTATGAGTTAATATGTCACATTTCTTGAGATTGAGAATGTCTTTTTTTAATGATGGGTTGAATTCAAGGATTGAGTTTTTGTAGAGTGGTAACGAAGTGTGAGAATTTGGATTGGATTTGTGGTGTTTTGGTTTGGGATGGATCTTAGAAATGGAAAGGAGAAAGATATTGAGGTTGATATTGAAAGTGGATTGCCACTAATTGAAGATAACACGAGGAGAATCTCGAATTCAATCACTGCGAAACAAGGGAAAATGTTATTTGCTGAGTTTTCCGATGAGTTGGTTGGAAGTTTTGTTAGAGGTGAAGTAGGGCCGAGTACGTATTTCAATGAGTCGAATTTAAGTGAAGTTTCGTTGGATGTGATGAAAGTGATGAACAAGATTCCGGCGAAGGAGAATCGTAAGAAGGCGTCGAATAAAAAGGCTGCCAAACCTCCAAGACCTCCGAAGGGTCCATCGTTAGACGAAGCTGATTATAAGTTAATTAGGGAGTTATCTGAACTTGCGATGCAGAAGCGTGCAAGGGTGGAGCGGATGAAAGCGTTGAAGAAAATGAAGAACGCTAAACCAGCTTCGTCCAATAGCACCAGCGCGTTGGCCTTGATTTTCACTGTTCTCTTCTTCATTGTGATAATCATCCAAGGTAAAACTTGTAGTACAAGTAAACGTTATCATGTTTATATATGTCAATGAGAATTATGATCAAATTTCTTTAAGCTTTTGATGGTAAATTTGTCGGAAGCACGTTGACACCATATGCTTTTGGTAGAATCACGATAGCACTGACACATAAACATATCGCGATTCTGCCAAACTCACCATCAATCAAAGGTGTACTCAAATTTTGGTGTGCGAGAACACATCAACATTTTCTTTTCTTAATTAGAACTTTCTTTTGCAGGCATGTCATCTGGGAAAAGCTCAGTGGCAAGTTTCCAAGGATCGCCTATATCAGTAGGAGGAGGAGAGAAAGGTCTAATTTCGGTTCAGTACCAACTCAATCCATCAAGCGATTCAAATGCACCGGGTTCAGAGTCCCCCAAGTAAGCACACTTGTCATTAAACCTCTCCATTCATGTCGAAATATTGATCCTTCAAAGCCCCTCTTGTATCTCCAGCGAAATGTCTTCTGTTGGATTGTTCTAGCCATAGATTAATCCAACAGTTAAAATTTCGCAGGAGGAGATAAAGAGGAACAACTTTGTAATGTTAAATTTTACAAACTTTTCTAATGTCGAAATTTCTACTTGATTATTACAGTTTTGTACAACGAATAGCAGGTTCAGATTTGAATGAAAAACTGAGGAAAGATTCAGGTTAATACAATCTTTAAGGACAAAGAGAATCTCATCATCAGCACTTTTGTGTATTTTGAGAATAGATAGACGGCTTAGTTTTATTGTTATTCTCATACAAACTTTTCTTTGTCTCTCAATAATATCAATTATTATTTCTCTATTTTGGTAATTTTTCCCTTTTTATGTATATTAATCAATGTCGGGGTTGAGTTAAATTACCATGGAAGAGTTACCGCTGTTGTTTTTCATTAGCTTCCCAAAAATGTGGGATAACTTTATATAAAATCAATTATTTTCACCGTGGAACTTAACACATGTTAATTGTCTTAATAGAAAAATCAATTTTACTTCTAATAATTATAGGAGGGAGTGTATGTTAAAAGATAGTACATTAGGACGGACCCAATCCTATATAAGGAAGCTTCATTGGGTAGGGGACAAGTAACATGTGTTTCTTACACAAGTGAATCATGTTGATGGAAAATGGCTTGTTATGCCTGGTTGGGGGTCATGGTTTTTGTTATTTAAATTTTTATCTTTCTGATATTTTCTTTAATAAGAATTGCTAGTGAGTTCCATCTTGCAAGGTGACATTGAGGGAAAATGTGTTTATAAATTGAGTGGAACTATAGAAATGATTCATGCAACAAAGTAACTTCCAATTTTTTTTCTTTAAAAAAAGTATATTAAAATAAAAGAGTTATAAAAAGAGAGGGGAACTAATCCAAAAAAAATAAAAAATTAAGGCCAAATTTGTTAAGATTAAAAGCTTTTGTGACAGAAATACATTACAAACCTTTGTGACAAACATGAGCTTCATCCCAGACATAATTTTGAATATCTAATACTAATGAAGCCTTTGTGATAAATCCATGGGCTTCATCCCAATCGACATAATCTTGAATGTATAACACTAATTATGATAGTTTGTCTGCACACTGGTTACCTTCTTTATATATGTTTAAGAAGTTTAGTAGAAGGGTCAATAAGCCTCTTTTATATAAAGCTTCTTCTATCACGAAGAATGATTTGCCTTTTCTCTTCATTAGGGGGTCTTGCCTTGATGGAGGAAAAGTGTTCTCACATTCAATGTACTTTTCAATGGACGATATCCAGAAAAGTTATGGGACGTCTTCTATAACCATCGTGGTTGTTCTTGGAGTTTCAATTCTTAAGCTTTTCAGCGTCTCCTAGATGAAAGATTGATTTATTCTAAAGTATCAGGTGCTAGGAAGTTTAGAAATGATGTTTTCTCTTGTATTCCGCTCCCTCGGAACATGTAAGATTTCGAAGGATTTAAACTTTTTTTAGTATTTCTTTAGTCAAAGTGACATATCTTTACAATAATGGGTCTTTGGTATGAGTCTTCCTCTTGACTTGTGACACCACAAAGCTGAGAATCTATTTGTAATCTAATGTGACACTACAAAGCTGAGAGTCTATTAGTAACCGAATGTTTTATGTCCCTATCTCGGCGACCAATGTGAGACTACTGATGACAACTTCATATTTGAGCTAATTAATTATGGTAGGGAATTCTAAACAGGATAACTCAATCATCAATCCGACTTCATTCTCCAAACTGAGACCACATACGCTTCCCCGACTATTGGATGATCCGTTTGTAAACATGACCCATGTGTGGGCTGGTTTTTATATACAAATAGTCATTTATGTAATAAAGTCTAAGAACAATTCGGATTTCAAGGTTTTCCTTGCTTCAAATATGATGTAAAAATCAGACAGTTCGATAGACCACTTCGCCACTCGTCCCGCTAAATCTGGGTAGTGGAACACTATCTTCAAGAGCATATTTATATAAACTACAATGACATGGGCTAGAAACTATCATCGCAACTTCCTGGATGCGGTCATTATAGATAAATCTACCTTAGTTATCTTTTAATATCGTGTTTTTAGTTTTGCTAAGGCCTTAGAGATAAAGTACATTAGACTCTGAATAGAATTCAGCTCTCGAACAAGGACAACGCTAATTGCTTCATTAGATACAACCAAATAAAGGAACATAATCTCCCCAGTGGATGAATGGGATAATATTGGCGGAGTTGACAAGGCCATTTTCAAGGATAAGAGTGCTTGTTCGCATTACGGAGTCCATTCAAAGTGTGTATCTTTCTTGAATAATTTGTAGAACGATAGGGCGTTCTGAGCCGACTTCGAGATAAACATGTTTATAGCCGTCAACATTCCATTTAGTCTCATTATCACTTTCTTCGTGGTTGGTGCCGCCACCAAGATGGACCCTTCATACTTATCTGGGTTTGATTTTATGCCTTTCTCTAGGTTGAGCCTCATATTGTGTTGCCAATATCTTCGAAAAACACGAGTGAGATGCTTGTTGTGTAGTTCCTCTTTGCCAAATGTAATGATCATGTAATCCATGTATACCTCTAGTATTTCACCTATTTATTCTTTGAAGAACTCGCCCATCATTCTTTGGTACGTCTCTCCTACATTCATCAGGCCAAAAGGCACCACGTTGTATTGGTAATTGGCTTGCTCGATCATGGAAGTTGGTTTTCCCTGTCTGGCTCATACATGGGTATCTGGTTGTATCTAGAAATGTGTATATAAATGATAGAATTTTGTACCCGACCAAATTGTCTATTAGTTTGTCTATATTCGGAACTGGATACGAATCTTTAGGGCTCGCTCAAATGAGGTTTGGGTAATCAAAGCAAACTCTCCATTTCCCCAAAGCTTTCTTGACTAACACGACATTGGAGAACCATTTAGTATATATAACTTCAGAAATAAAGTGAGCATCCAGCAAGCCTTGGACTGTCATCATGGTCGCTTCAAATTTTTGGGGGACTGCCACTTCCTTGGTTGGGATACATATCTGACATTAGTAGTAATGTTTAATGTGCTGCATGCCACGCTAGGTTTATACTTGACATCTCGTAAGAGGGATTGCTAAGAGGTCGACATTAATCCTTAGTCATTCAATAAGTTCTTTATTTACTTCTGTCGGTAGATAACTGTAGTGGGGAATTTCGTGAGTGTAAGTAATTGATTAACTTAACTAAAATGCAAGAGTCGCCGCCGCACTTTTATTTTATCCAAAAAAGGACAGGAAAAAGAACGAACAAAACCTAAAAGTTCTAAAATAAGAACAAAAACAGAGATCTAGATAAGGGAGTTGGTTACGCAATGGGAATGTGTTAGCACCCAAAACATCTATAGTACTCTATAGGAGCCCTTTGAAATATCTACGCTTTTCGGTTTAAAAAAAGATTTGTTTGAAAAGAGATTGGGGAGATAAGAAGAGAACTATTTTTAAGATTTTTGTGTTTGGAGAGACTTATCGCCTCATGCCTACGTACCCACAAAGTGCAATATAGGATCAAAACTCCATAGTTCGTGGTACAAATAACAAAATTTTGTTGGTTTTGATTGATTTTAATTGTAAAGACAAGTCGTCATTTTAAGGAGAAAACTACGACTAGTCGCCCACAAGTATAAGACAACATTTGCATCACCTAATGATGGATGATTTTGCTTGGATTAAAATCAACAAGTCTATCACTCAACATCTAAGTAGAAAATGTCAACATCTTAATACTTTGGGGAATAGGAGAATTATATCTCAACTATAGAAATAACTCATGTCTAAACTTTATGAAAATTTTTAAAATGAAAAGTGCGCAAAGGCACAAAAAGTTTGAATGAGGTTGATATTTTTAAAGTCTTTTTGAAATTTGTCAAAATATGATTAACATTGATTGACATTTATTAAAGAAAACAAAGTTTGAAAATCACTTGACAAAATTCAAAGTTTTATTATGAAAGCGATTTTAAGTTTGAAAGTAAGAAAGTTTTGAAAAAGGGAGGAGATTTTGAAAATTTAAGAAGGGGAGAAGATGAAGTAACTACCCTAGAAAGAAAAATAAAAGCTAGAGATAAGAAGGATCTAACCAACTTGTAGTACACCCCATAGCAAGACAAATAAGAATTCCGTCCATTTTGAAGCATAAGTAAGTGAGCGAGCAAAATAAAGAAAATGATCCACAATACTCCAAGCATAGGGAAAGAGTCCTAATTCTAAGTCCAAGGGCCCAAGAATAGTCCAAGAGGTCTAAGGTCTAAGAATAGTCTAAGAGCATAACCACAAAGTTAATAACACCACGTTTTTTAGAGGTTCAATCCTTTATTAGTGTTTTAAACAAGATTTGGTCCAAGTGAATATAAGAAAAGAGCGGAAACATAAACATATGTCCAACAGACAAAGGAAAAATAACGGAAGCATAAACAATAATATGATATGAGATGATAATAATGGAGCATAAAGATAAAAGAGAGATAGAGAGCAAGAAGGAAACATAAACAAAATTAGTACAATGATATCTGTTGCACCCCAAATTTTTTTCTTGCATTGCCTGTATAGCATATCATGTCTGTCATTTTTCATAATACCCAATTTATCAGCTGAAATAAACTTGTCGGAATTACAGCCGAATCGGTCAAACTAAAAGTCAACTTTGTGAAAAATCAGCAGACGGAAAATTTTAAAGTCGAGCCTGCAAACGTCAGTCATATTAATCTATGTTTGTCGTAGTTTAACCTGGCGTGTTCAATTAAATTTTTCGACCACTTTTCGGTCGCATTTTGGACAGTTTAAGTCATTTTATCGAGTAAAATTTATTTTAAAATCTAGCCAAACGGTATTTTTCTGAGTCGTATATTTTGCGCTGATCATTTTAGTGTACTCGGTTTATTTTTTCGAGCACTTGGGCGTCCGACTTTTATTTATTTGAGTTTCAGTTTTTTTTTTTATTTTTTGTCTAAATAGTTAGAATAAATAAATAAATAAATAAATAGAATTATTAGTTTTAATTTTATTTGAATTTTATTTTATTTTATTTAGCTTTAAATAATTATTTAAGTTGAGCTTTAAAATGGGCATTAGGTTAGAGTTAACCCTAGTTTGATACCTATATAAACATAAGTTGTATTTGAGAAAAGGGGGAGAAAACTTCATCAACATCAGAAATCAAGAACA